TGTTTTTTTTTATAAATAAAAACAAAAATACTGAAGAACTCCGGATTATTTACCTAACGTGTTCTTTCCTATTTTTCCACATATCTGCACATGGTTAGTGGCTAGGATTGTGGAATCGGAGAGCCAAGTTCGAGTTCAAGTACAGTTTACTACATTCACTTGAGAAAGTTATAAATCCATCTCTTCTCACCCAACTATGGGTAATATAGCAGGACAGGCTGAGTCCTATAGCCTCGGGTGGCAACCAGACTTAGAGAAGGAAAACTCTTAATTCAAACCCGCCTGAAGTGTTTTGGAGTCCATCAGAGTAGCTTGTACAGGAAGCACCACTGCTGCAACGATTGCAGAAAATATGGATCCCCTACGACCATAATGAGTTACGAAACTCGTAATAGTAGTAGAAGCATTGACATGGATCTTAAGAATGATAAAACCTAAAAAAATGAAGCATGATATTTTAAAGTAGTTCAAAGAACACATTATTGGAATTTGCAAAAATTTTAAAATAGATCATAGAACAATCAAGAAAGAAATTGAAAACATTACCAAGATAGAAACGAATGGGGAATTGATTTTGAAAATGGTCTAAATTGGTAAGAAGGAATAAAATGGATTGGCCAGCGATAGAATAATTGAAGAATCTGATGTAAACTGAGGCTAGATATGCAAAGGACGAATAGAACAAAGTACGTCATTTAAGTCAACATATTTACATATATATAAGTCTACCATTCTTCTGTACTTAGAATATTGCTGCCACATATGGTCCGGTGCTCGTGCTATTTACCTTGAGCTCCTTGATAAAATCCAAAGAAGAATCAGCAATATTGTTAGTCCTGATCCGTCGGCTCGCCTTCACTCAATTTCCCACCGCCGTAAAGTTGCTTCTCTGTCTCTTTTCTATAAATACTTTCATGATAATTGTTTGGATGAGCTCTTCAATATGATACTCACTGGGGCTTTTTAAATTGTTGTTTTATTCCCCTCCCTCGACAGACAATATTTAAGGATCGTGTTTTTTTTTTTTTTATTACTAACATTATTTTGTTTATTTTCTTGTAAATGGTTTTGTTTTATATTATATATACTCATTGGGGCTAGTTTTTAAAATTGTTGATTTATGCCCTCACCCACAGACAAAGAATTGTACATATGGGGACTAGTTAGGATCTTCATAGAGACAATGAGGTATTAGTGGATGTATAAGAAAGGTACGTAAGAATCTGTTGTTTTGGTGTAAGGAATATTGTTTGCATGACTGGGTCGATTTTTGTGGCTAGCTAAGTTTAAAGTTAAGACAGAAGAAGACCGTCATTTTCCCTAATCTCCATTTTGGCCTTGTGCCACATTTTGTAACAATTGCACAAATAAATATCGCTTTTCGCTATGGTACCCAGACATTTTTAATTTAAGCGCAGCACTTTACTGGCGTCGAGATTTCATCAATTTACAGCTGGTTAGATGTAGCCGTAAGTTCTATGTTAACAGTTCCTTTTCTCGCACTTCTCGCATGTGAAAATCCCTTCTAGCTCCATGTTTTCCAGTCAACTTTAATCTGCAAAATTTTAAATACAATGTCTATCGCTATCTGCTTTCCTCCCGATTATTCTTTCCTCTTCCCGCTCATTATTAATGTTCATAATTCTTCCACCCCTTGTAAACCCGTTGCGTCTTAGTGGCTTTACTGCCTTGCATGGATTGATACCGATTTTTAAAAAAATGATAGATCTCTTCAAATGTGATGATAGTGTCAAGATAAAAGAACTAAGTTCTTGGACAATACGCTTTTTTAGTGTTTACAGCCATATCACGTAGAACTAACGGTTTCCTTATGATCACTGAAGTTAAGCAACGTGGATCCTGGTCAGTACCTGAATGAGTGACCGATTGTGAAAATTAGAGATGTGCTAGTAGTGTAATGGCTATGGCTCCGAATTGTTAATCAGAGCCGAGTTCAAATTCCAGTTGGGTTCGTTATATTAAATTACGGGGGAAAGTTATGAATCCTCATCTTTTCTCCCCTAAGCTATGGGTTAATTAGTAAGACTTATATCACTAAACCATTTTTATCTCGAAGATTTTTCTTCTAAAAATATTTTTGGCTTTAAATAACATGGAAATGGTTGATATACCGTAGAAAACGAATCAATCAATCGAATATTGATTAGCTACTCAAACACATCTTTTAGATTTATCTACATTCTCTGATATTTTAAAACCTTTTTTTATGTTTCTACGTTTTTTTTTTATACATAAATGTTTTAGTAAATACTCTGTATATAATAAACGGTATTAACAACTTTATCTGCCTGGATGTCCGAGAAATTTTCATAGAAAATATGCGTCCTCCGACAGGAATCGAACCTATATCCTATACGGAAACGTCATATAGCCTGACGTGCTTTTACAGATTGGGCCACAGATATGAATGTACGAGAGAAAATCATGGAGAATTGTAGTTCACTAACAGTAAAATCGATCTTGCTAACCGAAACGCTGCTCTCTGGGTAAATGCTCTTGTCTACCAAAAACTGTTGAGGAGAGATGTAAAGCGCAGGGTAGTCAATGTACGCAACCGGAAGACCTTACGATATGATTATGCATCCAAGCATAGATGCGTGACAATGTCCGTGATCATATACCGTCAAAACATAGTCTACCCAGACCTGAATCCACTGGTCTACGACGTATGGAGCGAAGTCAAGAGGGAGGTCAGTAAACAATCCTCCAAAAACATAACATCTCTGAAGTCTGCCATAACCTGGACTATGTCCAGAATTCATAAAGGTTTTCTTAATCGGACTTCCGTCTCCGTATCGAAGCAGATATCGATGCTAACGGTGGAGTCATTGAATAGGTGTCATAAATTGGGTCAATTTGTTTACAAGCTTTTTTGTCAAAGCTTTTTTTCAAACTTAATTTTCCAAAAAACTTTAATGCTTTTTTCAAAGCTTTTTTTCAAGGCTTTTTTCAAGCTTTTTCAAACCTTTTTTGAAAGCTTTTTTCCAAAGATTTTTAAGCTATTTTCAAGGCTTTTTTCGAGCTTTTTCAAACCTTTTTCAAAGCTTTTTTCCAAAGACTTTTAAGCTATTTTCAAGGCTTTTTTCAAGCTATTTTCAAGGCTTTTTTCAAGCTATTTTCAAGGCTTTTTTGAAAGCTTTTTTCTAAAGATTTTAAGCTATTTTCAAGGCTTTTTTCAAGCTTTTTCAAACCTTTTTTCAATGCTTTTTTTCCAAAGATTTTTAAACTATTTTCAAGGCTTTTTTCAAGCTTTTTTCAAACCTGTTTTGAAAGCTTTTTTTCAAAGATTTTTAAGCATTTTTCAAAGCTTTTTGTCGAAGCTTTTCTTCAAGCTTTTTCCCAAAGATTTTTGAAGCTATTTTAAAGTTTTTTTTCAAAGATATTTAAAGATTTTTTCAAAGCTTTTATTCCAATTTTTTTTCCCAAATTTTTTTTTTAAAGATTTTTTTGAAGCTGTTTTCAAAGCATTTTTTCCAAAGATTTTTTTTTCAAACATTTTTTGATGCTGTTTTTCAAAGCTCTTTTTAAAAATGAGTCTTTTTCCAAATGTATGCAAATTCCCTAAAAAACTGACGCTGTACATGGAAGAATGGATTAACGAAATGCATGTATATGTTTCTGTGCTCTATATTTTAAGATTTTTTATACTAATATACAACCAATGCAAGGCCTAAAAGCCAATCTATGTAGAGGACTACCCTATCCTTTTAAATAACCATAATAAAATCCAAGAAGTGAAGTGCATGGAGTTATACAGGAAAGATAACTATTAACACTAAACGTGAAGAGGTCAAGATTTGGAAAAACAACATGCCGGGATTCTATTCCACAAAGTACCAGTTCTTGGGAAGACGATGTCTGAGAGGAACTTCCTCCTTACTAATGGAATACGAAGGGTATAGAATGATAGATCCGTGTGTACGTGGTATGGCGGGTCCGAGCTGCAAAAGTCAGGGCTAGTGGGAACATGGAATGTAATTCGCTAGAACACATTCCATGGAAATAACGATAGATTAGCGAGAAACAAGCGGTGTTTAATCTGTAGGAAAACTTGTTATAGGTTAGGAAATAATTCATCGCCCACAATGCCGCGTAGATGCTTTTGAACTCTATCAAGAAAGGTTAGATCTGGGCAGGTCTAGCCCCAATATGGTAACAATACTCTATCTATGGTCTGATCTGGGTCTTGTAAAGATGGTGTCAAGGAGAGTCAGAGACTTATTGGCGTGGTACAAGGGACCGACCATTTTTCTTGTATCTTTGGCAATAGTTCGCATATAAGAATTCCACTTGAGGTCTGAGAAGTGCTTCCCTCCCAGTAGACATTAAAGGTTAGGAGCCTCTATGATAGGTGATTAATTTATATATAGATAATTATATTGTATTTTGTTTAATTATCCTGACATCAGCACAATTCATCAATATTTTTTTAATAAGGGTAGATACTGAAACGTAACGCATATAAATATAAGTATATCCTGATTTTTTTTTATTTACATCGCTTGGTTAATATTCACTTTATTGTAAAAAAGAAATCTTTTGCATAATAAAATCCGACGCCTTTTATATGTTGTGCGTGTTTATGTGTACGGGTGTGTGATAGATAGAAATATAAGTAATATGAACTGTTACTACAGTGTAACCCGGATATAAGAGGGTTGTCTGGACCGGAGAAGAAGTCTCTTATATCCGGGTTTCTCTTATATCTGGGTTTGGCCTATTTTATATACATTAACACAGGCTCTGATTTGGGACTAGAGAAAATCTCTCTTATATCCGGGTTTCTCTTATATCCGGGTCTCTTATATCCGGATTACACTGTATATGTTAATATTTCTATACGTGTATATGGGTGTTATTGGTGGTCTTAGGTGTTGACTAATATATTTGCCTTGTAGAATGTCAGTTCAGTAACAAGATTGCAATATCCTTCCCAGCCAAGTCGATGCAGGGTTTTAAATTTTTCCAATCTTTTCAATATGCCATCATCTCTTCACCGTAGCTTGGCCACGTTTTCCGCCTTTTTCATCCGTTTCTCATCTCTTAACCGACTTCAAGTAATTTCTTCCCGCTCTCTCTCTCTCTTTCTCTATTTCTTCCTCTCTTCTTCATTCTCTTTCTTTCTCTCTTTTTTCAATACCTATTTCTTTCTTCTACTTTTTCTTGTTCTTCTTGTTCTTCTTCTTCTTCTTCTTCTTCTTCTTCTAAATTTTACTTCTTTTCCTTTTAATCAGTTTTTTCACTGTCTTCTTCATGTTTACTACATTCAGTTTATTAGCTACCTTTTGCTCCAATACATTTCCCTTCTCCTTCCTTGTCTTGATTCTCCCTTCCGTCTTCTGCTCCTTCCTGCGAGACTGCTCGTTCTTCACTATATTTCCCATCTTCTACTTCTTTTAAGGACATTATTCTTCTTTGTTTCCATTTTTTCTTTCTCAGTATTTCTTTCTAATCTTCTTCGCTGCCTCCTGTTTCAATTTATTCTCTTTTTCTTTTCACCTCCTCCTCCTCCTATTTATATTCTTCTTTTTCTCCTTCTTCTTCTTCTCCTCCTGTTTCGATTTTTTTCTTTTTTCATATCTTAATTTTATCCTCTGGTTCAAAATCTTCTTCTTTTTCTTCTATTTCGATTTTTTCTTTTTTCATACTTTCTTTTTTATCCTCTGTTTAAAAATCTTCTTCTTCTTCTTCTTCTTCTTCTTCTTCTTCTTCTTCTTCTTCATCATCATCATCATTACCTTCCACTTCTTTACTCTATTTTCCTCTTCTTCACTCTCCTCTGTTTGAATTTCTTCTTCTTTTTTTACTGTTTTCTTCTCCTTCTTCTTATTCTTCATGATCCTCTGGCTACTGTCTTCTTCCTCTTTATTTTTTCTACTGCACTTTTTTTTTCTATTTTGTCTTTCCTTCTTCGACTGTTAATACTTCTTTCTTTATTTTTTTTCTTCTTTCTTTCATTATTCTCTTCGTTTTTTCTTTTTTCTCTTTCTTATCTCTTCTACTTCTTCTTCTTTTTCAAAACTGTTAATATTACTAATAGTGATAAGGCATAAATTCATACGAAATTTCTATTTATCCAGGGCCAATTTCTTCAAATTCATCGCCTTTGGCATGACATCATCATCAGAATCATCATAATTTCCCTATATTTTCCCTCATTTTTATTTACCTTCACCTAAAGAATCTCCTCCTCTTTCTTCTTCTTCTTCTTCTTCTTCTTCTTCTTCTTCTTCTTCTTCTTCTCGATGAACATTCTTTGTATCCCCACATCCTTCTCCTTCTTGATTTCCATATAGGATTCAATGTCGCCGTCTTCCTGCTACTTTATACTGGGAAGTACACCTGCTTCGGGCACGAAATCCGGAAGCCATGATTGACTGCAAGTCATATGAATATCGAGTGTTTTTCGCTCCGGTCCCTGTTGCTACAATAAGTAAATAAAACGCTGCGTATTTTTACATAGGAGCATTCACAAATAGATAGAGCGCTCCATTTGAATGCACGTAGATATACACACACACACACACACACACACACACACACACACACATATATATATATATATATATATATATATATATACTTACACAATTATCTGCGCGCACATTCACTTATATCGAAGCAGGTGTTTGTATGTAAACATGCTGCTCAAAAACAGTTTCCGGTATATGCTGTTGGAGAGGTCGATGGAATGTTATTCCCTTTCAACGTCAAACACTTGATCTGGGATAAGGTTGGCTGCTTTAGATAAGTTGTTACATGATAACGTTCTCTGCTAGTCGCAATGAATAGCGTGTCTGAAACGTCACGAAAGACAATCACGTTCAACTAATGTGGTTATTTCGGCATGTTTTTCATGACCTAAATGAGCATGTGTACGTTAGCAAACCAGAGACTATTCTGAAACTGAAACGAAATACGTGGACTCACATTTGATGTTTTAGAACAGATGAGAATGTTATTACAAATTTCGTTTTCTTTAGTCAGAAGTGGCGGAGATATAAGGTAAATTATATTACATCATTTTGTTCATGTTCAGCTTTCTGATAAGTGTAAGCGTTCTGACAGCAAAGGAAATGTTTGTCGCAGATTAATTCCACAACGCAGAAAATAAATCACTGTAAGTTCAGACTCGAACATCGGGGGCAGAAAGAAATGCTGAAAACTTGATTCATAGGTACTATCTCACAAATCCCAATGCACGTAACCAGCCAGAAAAATAACTCACTCTCCGACGAATGCGGTAGCCAAAATACATCATTTTTTCACTACCGATCCGAGGACACCAACTGCTTTTATCGGCCGAGCATTATTTTCATTCGTCGACAACTGGAAGAGGACGCCCAATTTTTGCATATCAAAATACTTTTATAGCGTCTCCTGCGACAGGCTTGTTTTTAATCTAAATAATCCGCCTTCAGTATGTCATACGTGCACTTATTTTTTGGTAAGTAATTTTCTTTTCCGTCGTAGGATAGACGCGACGCTTGGTTTGACGAGGTAAGTCGACGCTTTCTTCGCTATAACAAGTTTATTAATCTGGCTGATTTTGCTGGAGATGAAATCGCCGAAGGTCTACTCACCTCCGCAGCAAAATCTTCAGTTTTGCAAACTTTGAAATGCTATCTTTGAGGTTTCCATTCATTCAAAGAATCACAGGGTTTTTTTTTTCAGTTCTTTCATAGAGCTTTTTGGAATGTTCTCACATATTCATCTCGTGGTCCTCGACAAAATCCAGAGACAGATATGCCACGTGGTCGGTGCATCTCGTCTACAGCCGTTATCTCACAGACGGGGTGTGGCTTCACTCTGTCTTTTCTACAAGTTTCTTCATAGCAACTGCTTTGACGATCTACTTTCACTGGTTCCCAAACTGCAGGAATTTAAGCGTGCTACTAGGTTGGCATCTCGGTCCCACCCTTTCACTGTTGAAATTGCTAAATGAAATGTAAACATCTCTACTCCTCCAACAGCTTCTTATCTCATACCTCCCGTCAGTGGAACTCCCTTCCTATCACTTGCTTCCTTGATAGCTATAATCTTCAAATAATCAAACGTAATGTCAATCGACATCTTCTGATGCATTGACCTTGATCCCCGTCCTTCTTTTTATCCTTTTCCCAAACACTCCTTTTTAATCTCCTCTTCGTAACGCCTTGCATGCTAGTGATACACCCGTTTTGCTCAGTTTTATTTGCTTAAAAAAACAATATTCTATATTTGATAATACTTCAATAAACAAATCAATTCGTAAAATGAAAAATAGTAATGTATGCAAATTAATTGCAAAACCTCTTGACCTACTTTTTGTAAGTAAACAAATCTAAGATCAGTCATATTCTTATAGTGATTTTCCAAGCGTAGCATAGATGTGGCACAAGTCCGAAAGTAGGGGCACCCAGTGAGGATCGAACTCACTACTCAGTCGGAATTGTTCTAGCAAGAAAAGCTTTGCTAACAATTACACCACATCGAGGTACCCATACTAGTCATTTTTTAGCATTCGTACACGAGTATCCAGAGGCTTTTTTCGCTTTCCAAACCATTAAGCCTGACACCACCCGCACATCCAAGCTTATAGCTCTGGTATGCTTACGGCTATACCACATTGAAACATCGGGTCTCGTCCGATTACTGTAACTAAGCCAGTCGGTATATATATATATATATATATATATATATATATATATATATATATATATATATAATATACAGTACGAAAAACTAATAATTATTGCTGACGCGTTTCGTTCAGTGTGGACGGTATTTATTACAATAAATAAATAAATACCGTCTACATTGGAAGAAACCCATCAGCAATAACTACAGTTTTCCTATTGTCATTTATATTTATAAATATTGTCTTTTCTACTCTGAGAAATTTTCACACACACACACACACACACACACACACACACACACACACATATATATATATATATATATATATATATATATATATATATATATATATAACGAAGTCCGACAATTATTTTAAGATACTTTATTGTTATACGTTATTTATTAAAAAAAAAAAAGTTTAAGTAAATATTCTGTTTTTATAATAAACAGTTTTAACAACAATTACCTGCCTGAACGTCCGATAAGTTTTCATAGAAAACATGTGCCCTCCGACAGGAATCGAACCTGCATCCTACACGCAATCGTCATATAGCTTGACGTGTTACACCAGTTTACCTACGAAGAAGCGTCAGGTGGGCAGGGTCGCTTTTACTGCTTTTAAAATACTATTTTCCATGATTTGTCTCGAACGTCCTTATCTGCTCGAAGCGTATCTTAAACAAATGACGTCACACACTACGAAATGGATTAAGTCCGACAATTATTTTAGTATATTTTTATTGTTACACGTTATTTATATAGACACAAATATTATTAATACTGTTTATTATAAAAACAGACAATTACTTAAATATTTCTGTATAAAAAAACGTATAACAATAATATATGTGTGTGCGTTTGCGTTTATATATATATATATATATATATATATATATATATATATATATATATATATATATATTCAAAATTCATTCAAATTACTTAGTTTTTCGATCATAAAGAAAGAAAGAAGTGGGAAATTGAATAAATAAATGTACAGGTTACAAGTTACAATAACCAGAGCGTCTGAAAGAAAGCTTGGTGAGTTGGAATAAATATGAATAAGTTGAACAAATCAAAATTTATATAGCCAGCCAGGCCCGTCTATTCTGAGTTGCATTTTTCCCGAATCAAGTGATTTTCAGCGCCACCCATATATATTAAAAACATCCCTACCACACACTAATACATACACAGAACACACACATTCAATTAAGCTGAAAAATCGAACCATCCTTGATAATGGCTAAAGGTATAACCGAAAGCGCTCGGAAATATAAAACATTTGGACAGTTCTTACACAAACGTTGTCCTGAAAAGAACGCTCTTATCAGAACATAAGAAAAATTAAATAAAAAGCTTAACCGTAGTACCTTGTCTGTCGTTTTTAATGAAACATGCATAAACGAAGGATTGCTGCCTAAATATACAACTATATATATATATTCAAGCATGAAACAGACTGTCGCCTCAAAGTGTTGACTTCTATGTTTATATATATATATATATATATATATATATATATATATATATATATATATATATATATATATAAAACATAGAAGTCATGCTAGACGCAATCGGTGGACTGACGATTGCCTCAAGCATGAAACAGACTGTCACCTCTAAGTGTTGACTTCTATGTTCACTTTTATATTTACACACGCTCTATTTCTGATATAGAGCACTTTATCCCATAAATATAGCACACCTTAAGACTATATTTCTTCATATATATATATATATATATATATATATATATATATATATATATATATATATATATATATAATCATTTATTCGAAAATTATAACATAAAAATGTTATAAAATCGCAACAAAAATAGCCATTTTGTTTCAACACATCTGGTGTTTATCCAGTGATGATGTTGAATTTAGAATAAAGGGTTTTAAAAGGTCCTTTCGGTACATGACTGATGGGGCAGATTTATTTATTTTGCCATTTTTTTCTGCGGTAGACCAGTTTCCATCGAAGGCTATAGGACCAGGTCTGTTCAGCTATTTACCGATATCTGGGTGGGAGAGAAGAAGATTCATACCTTTCCCAAGGGTATTAGCACGTTAGTGAATGTAATGAATTTAACTGGAAAAGGTAGTATTAATATAAAATACAAATTTTATTATGGCCTAGTTATGTACGGTAATGCATTGTATGTAATTAGGTGAATAATTAAATTCGAAAAATTGAAAATAAATACAATATGTCTAAATACAAATTAGTGATATGTCATAATAGATCATTCCATCTCTATCTATAAAAGGCAGGATGTATGTGTGTGTGTGTGTGTGTGTAACGAATGCACGGCCGTAATTTTCGACGGATTTGCACCAAAATTTACATGCACATGCTCCAAGTTAGCGGGAAGGCCAAGACCAACATTGCATTTCCCAACTACCATCGAAAGTTGAAATAATCGATTTTTTCATGCTTCTACGGCAGTTTTCATGTAGTTTGCGGCCATTTTCTACTGGCCAGGGTGAGAGCCAATAGCTGGCTGCCACGAATAGACAGGAAGATTCTATTGGCCAGCGTGAGAGCCAACAGCTGACTGACATGAATGTTAACTAGCATGCTAGCATGCAAAAAAATCGATAGTTGCATTCGTCACAAGTGGGAAAAATTTAAATTTGCATGGCACTTTACTACAATTGGCTCGTTCGCTTGCTTAAACTCAACGTTGATTCTGATTCCGTAGAACTGGGTTGGGTGTGAAAAAGTATTTGTTGTTAA